TTCAAAACAGGAACCATTTTAAAAGGAACGTCATCTCTAGCCGTCGCTTTATGAGCTCTGGTTAATTAGGTTTTCGCGGATTTCAAGGTTTATTGAAGAATGGCCTTTCGCCAATTTTTGTAGCTTCTACGGTCTATAGTAGATTTCCTAGCTCATTAAATGTAGACTGGCATTCTGAAGTTTGCGCTCGATTCGGATATAGAACTCAATTTCGAGTGTCATATTGATTAATGTGCAAAATAATCTCACGTTATTTCAGTCATGGCAAGATAACAGCTTTCGCCTAACATTCATTTTAACTGCCTGCAAAATGCCTGTTGTTAGAAAACGGCTTCGCAAATAAAATGATTTGTCTAATGTTAATTTCGACTCTTTTATTAATCAAAGTAGATTTTATTGAAACTATGCACACATATTGTACCAATGTACTACTTCAGTACGGTTTAAAAGTGTTCAGCAATTAAGAACGATTCGTAATTCCCGAAAAATGCATTTTCTAAAATATAGAATATGAAGACTTAATCCTTTCAAAATGTTCATGAGAAAAGATATTTGGTGCACATTTTCTCTCAATATATATTGGACTTTATTCGAAAATCACAACACAATGATACTAATGCATACTACTTAAGCATGTTAGGTTTGAAGAATATATATATTGTACAAAGGTCAGAGTGGAGCTGGGGCAAATGCGGGCGCGATGGCAATATCGTGGACTGACAGTGCATTATAATTACTATTTCAGCAAAAGTGGCTGGGCAACCCCCTAATTAACTGAGTGAGTCATTCAGCACCCGGGAAGCAGTAAAATGTGCTCTTAAAATTTCTTCTCTCCATACCACTTTTTGTTTGTGAATTAAAATATATGTAGCTATTTTCTGTCACTCAGGAAGAGAGTGTTATTCAAGTTAATTCCGTGGAGTTGTAGCGCTAATACTCAATGTTTCTGAAGAGTTCTTTAACATTATGACCAGTGACGTGTTCGCATATTCTACGATTGATTGATAATAAAATATTCATGTTTAAGCCTGGCGCACGTGAAAATGGTAACACAGAGAATGAATCGGAGGTAAGCTAAAGGACAGGATATAAATAAGATTTTCTAAAATCACGCCAGTCATCTAAGGTGTATGAAAAAGCAAGTTATGCCTTCTACATATAATTTCATTACGAATATATCGCTGACCATAATCCAATAATGTGCAGTAATCAGACGAAGAGAGAAAAATCACATATTTTATTGGGATGCACTGCTTTTATGTGGGTAATATTTTCGTCAACTCTTATAAGAAAGCATGATCCGAATTCTCCCGATATCCAAAATTCTAGGAAAAGAATCAAACTTAAATCATATTGTATAACGTAGGTATTTCACGCGTTGCTATGCTACGATAACAGCTGGATTAATCAGACCATAGAACCGCATATATCTACAGGAAGATCATACGCTGACCACGGCAACCATCAGCTATGTTAATAGGCAATCGTCTCATTCTCGGTATTCTTGTTTTTTTCAGAAGTAAACAATTATCAAAGAATACTCTAACTCTAACTGACACCGGATTTCCTGTGAGTCCGACACCTGTATTTTTATATTAAAGACTGCCGCATGCATAATGGGACTACCATTATTAACACCGACAGTTTTTCTACTCGGTGATCTTTACGAATTTAAATGAAAGACTCGCATTAATGGTCTGACAGTACGTCAAAGGACTTGGTTGGTATATAGTTCGTCATCTCAGAAGCTAACTGCATGCGCTGAACGTCCGCTAATGTGCGAGCATTCGTTGCAATATTTTTTATCGAAAACATGGATACTTTTGCAGAAATAGCTGACTGCCTAGTGTTGTTGCTGAACAGTTCAACCGCATCGGTGAATTTCATGTGTGGATTTTGTTGCGTCATGTAAAATAGTCTCCTTTCCATATGGTCTTCAAAAAGTTCTTATTAAGTTGCGCTTTTCCAAGGTAACTAATGTATAACTGATTTTCTAGATATTCCATGTTCATCTTTTAGCTGGATACGCATACTGCTAGATAAACGTTTGCATAAAACAGCAACTAAGTTGAACTCTTCACTGATGTATGCG